CCTGCCCAGAAGCTTAGGACTTGACCCCTGCCAGGAAGTTCCAAGCAGCGTGGGGATAGCACCCGTTCGACCCTGGTTGCGGCACCAAGACCTTCAACAGGCACAAGCGGGACCTGCTGAACAACGCCAGGTTGGCCCTGGCCACGCACGAGCTGGCCGCCGACCTGGGCACCGACGACAGCCCGAACATTATGCTGGGGATCTTGGACGAGGTTGGGCAGTCTACCGAGGCCGTGGCCATCATGTCACCGATGCTCTTCGCCCGGTCGGGCGGACGCGTCCTGGTAGTTAGGACGTGGGGCAGCTGTGCCCGATGTGGTGTTCGAGGGAGCAGCAGCCATGGGCCTCACTATCTCAGTGATGGAGCGCCTCCAGTGCTGGCGCAAGCTCCGACCACAACGTTCTCCTGGACAGGTGCTACAGCATGCACCCGAGCATCCTTCAGTGGGGGTCCCACTGCTTCTACGGAGGCAAGCTGTTGTCAGGACTTGGATACCCCGTCTCAGAGCGGAGTCTTGTCAAGGGTTTCCCCTGGAGGAAAGCCATTCCCCTGTCCGAAAAAGATACGGACGCGGCCCTGGTCAAGGAAGGCGCTGGGGACGGCCACGTTCCACCAGGACTAGGAGGCTTCCGGAACCCCGTGCACGGCGACTAGGAAGGTGCTCACATCCGCGTCCTGCTGGTGCACGTTGACTCCCACGAAGTCACCACGGCCATGGCGGAGGGATGCACCAACGTAAGGGAAACTGCCGCCATCTGTGACCTGGTCGCTGCGTGCGAAGACGACCTGGTCCACGCGCAGCGGAAGATCATGGCCACCTGCGGATTTAAAGCCATGCTGCCCTCGATCCCGAAAGGCTGGCCACTTACCGGGGCCCGAGTTCCGGACCACCTACGACGGCAAAGGTGAAGGGAAGAGGGGCGGCAACGGGAAGGGGAAGTCCGTGGGCCTGCCAGGCAGATCCCCTGGAGACGGCCGCGGCGCGTCGCGGGACGCCTCCGCCGCCAGGCCCCCGCCAGCCAGCTCCCGCACCCCGACCCCAAGGCAGGCCAGAAGAGGTGCCACCAGGGTCGCAGAACAGACAGTCTTCCAGCAGACCGCCACGCAGGCAGACGGCCTCCCCTTGACCTGCACGGGGTCGGAAAGGCCACGTCCCAGGCTCTTCCAGCAGGGCCTCATCGAGATCAGTACCTTCGACTCGAGCCAAAGAGACGACGCCGACCTCGTCATAATCGCAACCGCCAGGGCGAATAGCAGCCACACCTGGGGTGTCACATTGACGACCAGCATCGGCTCAACGTCGCCGACACCCGGGCGAAGGACGGTGTCGTCGTCGTCGGCAACGGCAAGATGTTCAGCACAACCATTGAGTTCCAGCTCAATACCTTGGCGGCGTGGGGTGTTGAGGCAGGCAAATGGATACGGCTCGCAGACCCTAGACAGGCAGTTTCCCGGCGGCGGCTGGATGAGGACGTGGAGTTTCGACTCCGTCACAGACGAGGCCACACCTGAAGATAAGGCCAAGATGGCCGCGGACGCGGAGCTCAGAGTCAGGGAGAAATGCTTCGCAGCAACAGCTGAGCTTCGCAACCCTGGTTGATTCGCCGCCGCAAGACGACCATAACTAGGATCACCTGGCAGAGGACCTCCAGACCGCTGGGGCCAGGCTGCTGATGGGCCCAGGGTTCGCGCTTGTGCTCTTCTACGTCGTGAGCTGCCATCCGCACATGTACGGCCCTGGCGATGTGCCCCGCGACCTGGCGGAGCACTGCAGGAAGCTCCTCAGCCACGACGGTTTCCTCTGCGACCTGGAGCTCGGCCTGTGCCCCGCGAACTGTACACAGCCACCTGGGCCGTGCTGCTGCACCTGGCAGGCTTGCGGCAGACCGACGACCTGGAGGAACCAGTGCGAGAGGACCAGCTCCCGCCCGAGCTTCAGCAGCCAGGTGCGTCGAGCAGGTGGCGGAGGAAGGAGAAGTCCGCCCCCCCTGGCATCCCGCGACAGCCACCAGTTTGCTGGAACCAGAGTACCTGCCGATGTCAGCGACACACCGGGCAGCCGTCCGCTGACCACCTCAAGGACGTCCTGGGCAAGCCAGCCGCGGGGTGGAAAATGCTACGTGTCAGTTTTCTGGGGCCCGACAAGAAGCCGCTCAGCTCCTTCTGGGGCACGAATCCGTTGGCAATCGTGCTCATCGTGATCCGCGAGCCCAAGGTGCTGCTCCACCCGCATGGCAAAGCTGGCATTGCCAGTGGCGTATGGGAGGCTGTGTGCGTCCGCCTTCCCCGCCCATGGTGGCTGTTGGCACCTCCACCGTGCTGGGCTGTCCATCACTGACCCCCACGTCATCCATGCCTGGATGACTTATGGCGACGGCTGCTGCAAGACCTTCGACGGTCTCTGAGGGCTCGGGTGCTTCCGTGCGCGCGCGCGATCGCTGTTCCCGGCTTTCTCCGCCCTGTCGCTGCGCGCAGGGTCGCGACGCCACAAAGTGTGTGTGTGTGTGTTTGTGGGTCTGCGTGACCCGATCGTTTGCTGCACTTTCCTGCGGCGTCCGTCTTGTCTACTTGGGGTTTGATTTCGAGCTGTGCCGAGTGTTCCATCGCTGCACGCGCGGCCACACCAGGTGGCACAGCAGCTTGCTCAGCGCGCAGCCCTCGCCTTATCTCTCGTTGCCCGCTGGCTGCCATCATCGGCGCGTCGGAGGAGAAAGAGTGGCTTGGCATCGGCTTCGCTGCTAGTCGCCTTGGGGCAGTCGTAGGCCTTAGGGGAGGGTACGGGCCGTCGGGCAGGGGCCCGGGCAGGAGCCTTGAAGATCATCCGGAACAAGAAACGCTTCCACCACCAGGACCCGGGGTGCCCAGGGGGATTGAGGATGATGACGGTGATGATGGTGCTGATGATGATAATGATGCTTATGCTGATGCTGACGCAGATGATGATTATGATGATGAATCTGATGATGATGATGATGATGATGCTGATGATGATGATGATGACGATGACGATGACGATGGTAATGATGATGATGATGATGATGATGATGATGATGATGATGATGATGATGAATCTGATGATGATGATGATGATGATGATGATGATGACGATGACGATGGTAATGATGATGATGATGATGATGATGATGATGATGATGATGATGATGATGATGCTGATGATGATGATGATGACGATGATGATGATGATTGTGATGATGACTGGTAACGATGTTGCTCTGCTCATGATTATGCTGCTGATGATGACGATGCTGCTGATGCTGATGATGCTGATGATGATGGTGAGGACGATTAATGGTAACGGTGGTGATCATGATGTTGCTGATGATGTTGTTGTTTATAATGATGTTGATGTTGTTGATGATACTGCTGGAGCTGATGGTGATCATGATGGTACTGCCGATGACGATGACGATGACGATGGCGATGGAGATGGCGATGCTAATGTTGATGATGATGATGCTGATCACAATGATGATGCTGATGGTGGTGGTGGTGATGATATTGCTGATGATGATGATGATTGGGATGATGATGCTGATGCTGATGATGATGCTGATGATGATGATGCTGATGATGATGATGATGATGATGATGATGATGATGATGATGATGATTGGTGGTGCTGGTGCTACTGATAATGTTGCTGATGATGGCAACAGTGACAGTGGTGGAGATGATGTCGACGACGACGACGACGGCGACGAGCACGACGAGGATGATGGCGATGATGATGCCGCTGAAGATGATGATGATGACGACTGTGGCAACGATGCGATAACGATCACAATGATAATGACGATAGCGATGACGATGATGATGACGATGATGTTGAGGATTATGATGCTGATGATGATTATCATGATAATAATGATGCTGATGAATATAATGATGATTATTACGATTACGATGATGATAAGTACGGTAATGCTGATTGTGATTATGTTGCTGTTTTGATGATGATGATGCTGATGATGATGATGATGATGATGATGATGATGATGATCATGATGATTAAGGAGATGATGATGCTGATGATGCTGCTGATGCTGATGCTGGTGCTGATGCTGATGCCAATGCTGCTGCTGCTGTGCACGCATCATACCATGAGACAGTCTCTGGCAGGCTCCGTACTGAGGGATTTTTTAAGACCAAGCCCAACTGCTGAGGTTCGGGATGCTGAAGAACGAAGTGATCGGGAGGTGGCCACCAGTCACGCATGGACAGCTGCCTGACGTACGATATGTGTACACTGCCACGGTACCAAAAGACTGGAAGACTGGAACGCTGCGCGGGCCGTTGCCGTGAGGCCGGATCACCAAGGAACTTGTGATGATTTTTGGTCGTTTTTTCTACTGCGCACTGTTTCAGCTTGCAGCGTTTTGCGTGGCTCACGGAAGGCCGAACTCTACGCGGTTGAGCTTCTGTGCCCGCGCAGGCTCTCGAGCCCGAAGGGAAGCTGAGATGATGGCCTTCCAGGGAGCTGCAAAAGACCGAGGGCAGCACTCGTCAGGGGAGAAGAAGCTCCGTTCACACGCGCCCAGGTGTCAGCAGCTCACGGTGGCGCTGGTGCAACTGCATGTCCCCGATGTGGCCTCGAGGTCTTGCGGTCTTGTTTGATCGTCTGGGAGGACCCGCGGCGGGCCAAACCAAACAAGATCACAGGGAAGTATCGCACCAAACGAGATTTTGGTACGCTATTTCCCCCTCCCCTCTCTTGAGCCTGGCCGCGAAGGGGCCATACGATATGATAAATGACAACGAGGAGACCGGCTACGCCCGCCAGGCCAGGGCTCGTTTTGAGTCCCCAAGTCTGCCTGCTCGCGTGGATTCGTTGACGGCCTCACGAGAGTCAGCTGGGCGGCCTTCAAACAAGGCCCTCCTCCCGCCTTTCGAAGGCGTGGGCCGCGAGGATTCTGATGGCCGATCCCTTCGAATGACAAATCACCTAACTTCGCGCGTCGCGCGGCCATCATCGCGCCCTTCACGAGGCCGCCCTGGGTCCATATCCGATGGCCTGCAACATGCGGCCTCCTGATGCTTCGACCCAGGATGCTCCAAGTATATTGACTGCGGCCATGTCCACGGCTCCTACGGGCACTGCCCCTCCAGTGAAGTAAGAAAGCAGCACGGAACCAACATTCTCAATGACGAAATCACGTGCAGTGATGTATAGCTCCAACTTTGCATCCCAATGTCCATAGCGATAGCCAATATAGAACGCAATGCTAAGAGCAACAACAAAGTAGAGCACTTTCACGATGAAGATGACAGTGCGGATGGCGTGCTCGAGTGGGGCGAAAGCGATTCGGGCCATGTTCTTGACGAGCTCGAAGAGCGCGTCTATCAGCTTCTCCCTGGGCCTCGGGGGGCATTCGCCTTGGCCCGCGTCCTTGACTATGCGGTCCACGCCTCTGGGGACCCTGCCGTTCGACCACTGCTCGTTGATCCCCTCCTTGGTCTCCTCCATCGCGCCACTCGCCAGCCCGAACACGTGGCCACCCTCCGCGACGATGCAGGCGCTCTCGGCGGCCGTCCGCGCGCCGGGCGGCACGGCGACCGACGGCGGTGACGGCTGGAATGGACTCGGCACGCCCGGCGGGGCCGCCGCTGCTGGCACGACAGCAGCACCCCCCGCGGCCGCTGGGGCGCCGGCCTGCACCGCGTTGGCGGCGATGGCGGAGGACAGCTGCGGGGAGTTCGCGGCGTCGACGAGCTTGCCCTGCCGCTCGTGCTCGTTGGTGCGTACAGCCTCCTCCCCGGACTCCACGAGCTTCTTTTGTAACGCTTGCTCTGCCTCGAGAGAAACTGCTCGGCGACCCTGACCTGGTCCTCCGCATCTGGACTGTTCGAGCTGCTCGAACGATGCTTCTTCTTCTTTTTCTCGGTACTGTCTCGATCACGATCTCGATCGCAGGACGTTCATGCTTGGGCTGCCCCGTCGGCGGCCGAGCACCGTGCCCACGATGTTGCTGATGCCCACGCCCGCCATGAGATTTGGCCACCTCTAGCTGCTTCTGGCTGTGATGCAGTGACTTCACGGACGGTCGAGCCCAAACAACTGCAGGATAGGGGGGGATAACATGGACCAGCGAGCGAGTCTATGACATGGGATACTGCAGCCTGAACAACTTCAACAGGAACCCCATAATCACGACAAGCTGCAGTCCACAAGCCAACTCCAGTGAGAAGCACCTGGAGAGTCCCCCCGACAACTTACCTCGAAGTCTCGCAGCCAGCGTGGGCGATTGGTCAAGCCGTGGGAGCAGGATGCGGTTCGTTTTTTGTTTTGTTTTTTGTGAAATAAAACATGCAGCCGATGTTCTGAGGTCCGTCGGATCCATTGTATTTGCTCTCGAACACGAGCGATAAAGGCGCTCAGAGTAAACCGAGATGAACAGGAATTTGACACAGCCAGCGCAGTAACTATTTGAACAACCGATGTTTCATCGACGTATCGAAGCCAGAAGACTGTCCGAAGAAACTGCACCTGGGAGAGATCAGCGGGAGAACTTAGCACCGCCACTGCACCTTCAAGGACTAGTGTCTCATCATCGCCAAAGACGACGGACACCGCGGCAGCGGATATCACACCACCAATCGACAATCCCATGAGCTCAATGACAAGGGAGCCGAACGTGACTGAATTTAGGACCGTGGCAGCCTGTGAAGGCAGAGCTATGAGCCCTAATGCTAAGTAGTATCAGCTATGTGGTCACGCAACCTACGAAGGCAGGCGATATCGAAACTTCCCACCACGCTGGATGTAAATGTCCAGGGGCTGGGCAACGTCCTAGTACCTCTGGGAGAAACGAACCCATGCAGGCCCAGCCCGCGATGCCTTGCAGGCCTCGACGGACTGCTCAATATCAGCACTGACATCCGCCGCGGAATCCATTGGGCACCCGCACCTGGAACAGCATCCTGAAACGTTCGAGTCCGCACTCCTCAGCCCATCCTTCAACTGTTGCACGGCGTCTTTCGCATCAGACACCTTACGCGGGCGAGTGGATATCTTGGCGACTGCACGCGCTCCTCTAGCTGCTGTCCTGCAAGCTACAGGAGACGGTATCGCTGACATTTTCAAGAGCCTCCGAAGACATGAGTTACCTATTTTAATTTTCTGACTCGTTTCTTTTACGCTCGTCGGTGTAGCGGATGGCGCAAGTGGCCCCGCTCGTTCTCGCGGGTTGCCGCAGAGCCAGGCGGGCAAGGCAGTGCGTGCTCGGCCGAACGCGAGGGGCAACGCCTGCGACGCGGAGAAACCCGATCTGGTCTTCCAGTTCGGGCCCTCGGCGATTTGTGGGCGCCAAGCTCGCACGCAACCGAGCGCAAAGGTCGCGTGCAACTGCTGTGGGTCCACGGGCCAGACCTTTTAAGCGTCGTGATCGTCAGGCAACAACGTCGAGCTCGCTGACCCACTGCTCAAGACCCCCCGAAGGCTCTGCTCCTGCAGTTGCCATGCTGGGGGGCACCCTTGAACAGAGAAGGTCTCGGGCTTGCCAAAAATACAAGCTGAGTGGAGTGCACGGCTGAGTGGAGTGTGGATGAAGCCGGCTGTTGAAAACGCTCGGGCCAGCCGGCGCGAATTGCCGATCGAATAGATTCTGGATTCGGTCAAAGTTTCAGCCTCCACGTGCCAGCATGCGCTTGCAGTGCCTCGGCCCCTGTGCACCGTCCAAGAACGCCAGGCGGTATATTTAAAAACCGTTCAAATCGTAACCACGAAGACGACGTTAGGAGTCCATCTTTTCGAACCGCGACGAGGAGCGGCCGTGGACCACTGACAAATGCTGTTGAAGCCATCTGTGGGCCGAGTATACTCGTACTGACTGCAACGCATCCCAGACCAGACGCCGTATCAGGGGAACATGTGCTTTGATGTGTCGAGGGGGAACCAAAGGATGAACTATGGTAGGTGCGAGACGAAGCAGACGCGCAGCCTTCTCGCGAAAGCGGCGTGCTGCTGCTTCCGGCGCGGCTCCGAATATGGCTTACTTGAGGTGGCCTGCAATGTGGTGAAATATGCTCCCGGCATTGTCGCGTGACCAGGCAGGGAAAATTCGAGTCGCGGCCGTGAGCTTGCACAGTGAGACCAGGCAGTGAAGGTCGATTGCGGTGTCTAGCGCGTCCAGGTCGTAAAGTTTGCCCGGCTCGCTTCTTAGCTCGCCGCTAAATTTCGTTTGCGCGATTGCGAACAGGATTCGCGGACTTGGTAATGACCACCTCCACAGCGAACGCTCGAGTTTCCGACTGCGCTGTTACGGTCGGGACAAGGAACAAAGAGCCGATGTTTTCCTTGAGGGCGCCGTACCTGGCAAAACGGCCTTTCTTAGACTGCGGCAACATGAGTCCTGCCAAGTGCTCCAATGCTCGAGCTGCTAGGCCGTTTCGCGCGCCAGAGGATCGCACGACGTTGGCCTTGCGCTGACAAAGCACCCCGAGTGTGAACCAACGAGATAGACGGCGACCGATGAATTGTCGGCGGTCAGTATCCAATGCGAAATCCGTGACCATGGCAATGATGGGCGCGAGACTATGTCATTCTGGTACTCCAAGGGGAACGCGCACCACTGTTGCCAAAACCATCGTCGACGGTGATCAGCGCTGCGAGCACGCCGAAGTCGACATAGTCCAGGCGCAGCCAAGATCAGACATGTCCTGATTGCTTCGGTCTCTGCGCTCGCACCGCCTCGGTTGAGTGGTGGGAGCAACGCGTCAACAGACACCGCCAAAAGCTGCCACAAGGCTCGCAGTACCATCTGCTTGAGTACGCGAGTCGCACCATGAGGCAGTCTCTGGCGCGCTCGGTCTTGAGGGATTTTTCAAAACCAAGCCCAACCGCTGAGGTTTGTGATGGCGAAGAACGAAGTGATCGGGAGATGGCCATCGGTGACGCATGGACAGCTGCCTGACGTATGAAATGTGTACTTTGCCACATCACCGGAAGACTGGAAGACTGGAGTTCTGCGCGGGCCGTTGCCGTGAGGCCAGGTCGCCGAGGAACTTGTGATGATTTCTGGTCGATTCTTCCACTGCGCACAGTGTTTCAGTTTGCAGTGCTTCGCATGGCTCACGCGAGACCGAACCTTAAGCGGTTGGGCGTCTGTGCCCGCGCAGGCTATCAAACTCAACGGAATGTATCGAGGTGATGGTGATGTTGATGTTTTTGATGCTGATGATGATGTTGATGACGACGTTGATGCTGATGCTGATCATTGCGATGATGATGGTGATGCTGATGCTGATGATGATGGTGATGGTGATGGTGATGATAATGTTGATGACAGTCGGATCGACGTATGATATCGAGGTCGGTTCGGGGAGGGTACCCTCGTGTTGTTCTTGCTTGCTGGATGCTCTGATGCATCCTGGTGAGGGTGCCCTTGGATGTTCTGTTTGTTTTGGCAGACGGAGGGTCTCATGTTCTTGAGGGATGTTCTTCTGGCCTATGTCCAACTGTATGATGATAGTGATGGAGGTGATGATGATGATGCTGCTGCTGATGATGCTGCTGCTGCTGATTCTGACGATGATGATGCTGATGCAGATGATGATGGTTGTGATGATGCTGATGACGATGATGAGGATGATGAAACATATGATGACGATGCTGATGATTATGACGATGCTGATGCTGATGATGATGATGCTGATGCTGCTGCTGCTGGTGCTGCTGATGATGATGCTCTTGCTGATGATTGTAATGGTTGTGATGATGATGATGATGATGATGATGATGATGATGATGATGATGATGATGATGATGATGATGATGATGATGATGATTATGTGATGATGATGTGATGATGATGATGATGATGATGATGATGATGATGATGATGAGGAGGAGGAGGAGGAGGAGGAGGAGGAGGAGGAAATGGAGGAGGAGGAGGAAGAGGAGGATGAGGAGGAGGAGGAGGAGGAGGAGGAGGAGGAGGAGGAGGAGGAGGAGGAGGAAGGGGAGGAGAGGGAGGAGGAGGAGGAACCATGAGCAGGAGCAGGAGGAGGAGGAGGAGGAGGAACAAGAGGGAGAGGAGGAAGAGAAGGAGGGTAAGACGAGGAGAGAGGGCCCATTTGTTGGGGGTCATCGGAGGCATCGCTCGGGAGGATGTCCGTGGCGTGGCAGCTCCCCCCCTTGCTCTCGGACGTGCTCCCGCTCCCGCAGCTACCGACGGGGCATGCGGCCCCCCTACGATCGAGAGCTCTGGCCTCGCCTGTCGCTCCGCCTGCTCTGGCCTACCACGCCTCGGCGCGACGCGCTGACCGCTTCCCAACTCCCGAGCGTCAGCGTCCCTGGCCGTTCCCCGCCCCGCCCCGCGGAGCGGAGCGACACGCTGCTAGCTTAGAGGGCATAGCGTGTCGCAGGGGTCGCTGACGCAGAAAGCCCGACCCGTGGGACGAAAGACACCGGAATGTTTGCGGGGCGTGCTGCAGCGCCAGTTCTGGCTCGCCGCGTTGCGTCGCGACCAGCAAACCACGTCCCCGTCCCCAACGCGTCAACGCCCCGAGCTTTTCCAGCCTCCCGCCACGTGAACCGGAGCAGCACGCTGTCCGCTCGCGGGGCATAGCGTGTCGCCCGGGCCGCCGCCGCGACACGCTAAGTAGAAGTTTCGGCCGTAGCCAGAGCAAGGAGGAGTCGGGGGCGGCCAAGAGAGGGGTCATGATTCGGGGGGGGATGTCATGGCGTGGGCCATGCTGTTCCCTCAGATCTCATGGCGCCTCTTCTTATCTTAATACGTTCCCTGCCCCACCCCTGGGCCGCGCACATGCCTCGGGCCATGCTGTGCGCCCCCC